AGAGCGTGGTGGGGTGATGTTGGTGGCTGCCAGACACCCACCCAGCCACTCTCTTACTCCTCTTCAGTGGAACAGGGGGTGAAAATAAGATGAAAAAGCTTCAAGATGAAAACAGGGACATCTTGTACCCATTACCGTCATAGGCAACGCAGACTCAGCTTGGGGGAAACGAGCTGAACTTCTTGCCAGTCAGAATAGAGTTGGATGGTGAGAAACAAAGACAAAAAACAAACCAAAACGCCTTTTCCCCCACCCCTTTTTCCCTAAGACTCTGCTCCAGTCCTTCACTTCTGACTCCCAGAGAGGTGCCAGGGAGGAATCGTGGGTGTCTCTGAGCAGCCCTAATGCTCCGTTGCCTTTCAGAACACCGCAGAACGCGTTCTTGTCGACACTACCGCCCGTGCAAGCGCCAGACGGATGGCGGCGGCGTGGCCGAGGCCATGAAGGGCCAAGCTTGTGACACTGATGGCGAAGGCTCCCCACCTGGCTGCCAAAGCCCTGCCACTTGCCTGCCCAAGCACCTCACCAGCACGTGGTGCAACGTGCCCAGACAGCACCGGGACATCCGTGTTCGTAACGAAGCCGTTGGCACGCCGGGAGCGAGCGGGGTGCCTGGGAGCAGTGCCAGTGACACCAAAGCTTGTGCCACCAGGAACGGGGCATCGGCCATCCCTTCTGTGCCATCTCTGCCCTGAAAACAGCCGCGGCCTCTCTGGGCTACTTGGCCCCAAGACCCGTTTGTGGTAGGCCAGGCTGGTCCTTAGGGTCATGTGTGACTGCAGGGGTCAAGATGGAGAACATCTTCACGGATGAGGTGGAGATGACAGCTTTGCATCTGATTGTTCACCCGCCAAGAAACGAGTGCATTGCAGAGAAATGCGCAGTCTATGAAAGCAGAAAAGTCACTAATGTGCTGCTTGGGACCTTTCTGAGTTCAGGTGAGGCGCGCTGTCCTGAGCCATGGAGTATCTCCGCAGCTGAGGATGCGGGAGGGCAGGGGCTCAGGGCTCCCCGGCACAGCTGCCGCAACGCTCACTCTCCGCATCCCGACAGGCCAGGTGTCAGCGGGATGGAGCGGAACAAGGCCGTTCCGTGTCACCCCGTAGGTAGTAAAGCACAATGCTTCAGGTGTAAACCCTGCCTTTTACAGGGCGTTTCTTTATGTGTCGAATAACCCTTGTTTGCAGTGTGATTCACAGTTGGAAAGCCTTGCCGGGTTTGGATGTGAGCCCACGGGAATTGGGAAGACAAATACTGGTGTGAGAGCAGCGCTGGAAGCAGTCCCTGGACTCCCTGGAGCCTGCGAACCCTGTGTAGATTTGCCGACTTTGGAGAAACGTGGTGCAACGCCTTTTGATTTGGCTGAGGCAGGCGCTTTCTGCACAAGATCGGGTGCGTTGCGGACAGCAGCAGCCAGCCGTATCGCCCTGTCCCTTGCAGTGGTGAGTACCTGCCTGGTTCTCCTTCCGCGCGTCCCTCCCGTAGCTGGAGCCAGGCAACGGCTCCTGAGCCTTTGGCTTTCTCCTGGAAATGTTCTGGGGCACGGCTAGCAGAGCTGGCATCGCGCTACCTGGTTGTACCTTTGGCACCTTTACTCACTAAAATGTTCTCAGGAGCAGCTGCAGAGCGGTGGTTTCTGTTAAAATTTTGTTAAAATGGAGAGAGTCCAGCGGAGGGCTACAAGGATGAGGAGGGGACTGGAGCATCTCTCCTACGAGGAGAGGCTGAGGGAGCTGGGCTTGTTCAGCCTGGAGAAGAGAAGGCTG